CTGTGTTTCATTCTGGCTGCGTACTGCCTCGCTCAGAGAGTGTCATCTGTTCAGCTGATTCCCTTGTACCACAGGGAAGCCTGCCTCTTTGTTCCCATTGCTGTTCCGCCTCGGGTGCAGCGGAGGTTGCCCAGTAGGAGCCCATTAAAATGATCTTCCCTGCTGCTCCCTCTGAGTTTCGGCATCTGCTGTGCCCAGTCCTGGAGGTGAAAGACTGGAACGTGTGTCTGGGAGCATGTTTAAGCCCTGTTGCTCTCTTCTCTTCCAGCTACGAGCCAGAATTGTTTCCCGGCTTAATCTACAGAATGATCAAGCCAAGAATTGTTCTGCTTATTTTTGTGTCTGGAAAAGTGGTTTTAACTGGTAAGTGAAGACAATCTTACTCCAGTAGGTTAGATTTAGACTGTATGGCAGAGAACACAGAGGGATACCGGAGGTATGTAAGCTGCTACGTACTTTCCTTTAGGGATGACAGTACTGAGAAAGAAGGAATAGGACAGTGTTCTGTGGATGGGCGTGCACAGAGCAAACTACGCATTTGCCTAAATGCATATAAGCAACACGCACAAAGCCTAATCAAGCATTTAGGTGACCAAAAAGCTATAAGAGCACAGCTAATGTTTCTGGCAAAATCTGAACGTCTGTTTTGATGTGCTGGGTATGTGTGACTGCTGATCTTTGACAGCCTGGCTGGAGGCTGATGTCATTCTCCTTTGATACAGCAGCCAAATAAGGGGACATACCTGAGCTCTGGAACCTCCTCAACTTCAGACACTCCCACCTACACCCTTTCTTTTCCCCTTGTGCTCAGTCTTACTATGGAGAAAAAACCTCCACAAGACTTGCATGCTTAAGGCGGCACATGTCCCTGCAGTATAGCAAGTGGCACACTTGTGGAGAGGTGTCCACTGCCAGACTCTGCTCCCCTAGATGGTCACACTCAAAAAAAGCTCCACCAGTTAGGCCTGGCAGCAGAAGCATGCTGCAGGGCTATGCTTTCTTGTAGAGCTTCCTGTGGAAATTATGTATAGAAAAAACCCATTTGCAAGTATGGCACACGCATGAAGATGCTAGTTAAGTTTCACCAGTTATCAGAAGCAGTAGCGAGAAGGGTGGTAACATATGGTCTATATGAAATGTGTATTAAAAAAAATTCAGAAAAATAAGGATTTATGATTATGTATAGGTTTAAAATAGAGCTGCATTCAAATAAACGTTCCAAAAGCTAAATTGAAGCATTTAGCAAAAACTAATTCAATTCCCTCTCTTCTTCTAGGTGCTAAAGTACGATCAGAAATCTACGAAGCATTTGAAAACATCTATCCTATCTTAAAGGGATTCAGAAAGACAACGTAACAGTTTCTACATCTTTGAGAGAAATCAGGGGTATATTTTACAAGGTATTGCATATGGCACAGCAGTAACAAGAGATGGACTTCCAGTGAAACTGCAACACCAGGACTTGGACTATTTCCCAGTTAGTGCCTACTTCCCTGATGCTCAAGGGGAACTGTATTCTTGATTACGTCTACTGAGTTACTGTGAGTTGCTTTACTGGGCTGTTCCTGGAGCAGTCCCTCTAAGTTTTATTTATATTCTAGCTTTTAAATAGTTTTAATGCCGGTTCTATTAATAGAAGATCCATAAGTTTGTTTAAAAGACAAATGCAACTGTGTCACTCAGTGTATAAACCACTTAAATTGCCATGTATATATATGTTTTAATTTCCTTCCGTAAGACCATGGTTTTTATAATTTTCAGAACATAAGCTTTTAAATTTTTTCAATTTTAAATTTCTTTGGTGCCAGACACATTCCCTCTTTCCAGTATTAAGCAAGACAGAATAAATTTATTAATGAAAATGGCTCACTGTACATATATATATAATATATACTTTCCTTCTCTTTCCTCCTTCAGCTCCACATGTACAATAAACCCTGTTTATACAATTACGGGAACTGTCTTAATGAATTTTAAAATTGCCCAGCTGGTAGAGTGAAAAAAAATGAATTTTTTTTTTTTTTTTTTTTTTAAATTTAATCTGGATTTTTCAGTAGCACATGCCCTCCTGTAAGTTGTGAGAGAATCTTAACAAGGCTCTGGGTTGCTTACCAGCAGCTGTACCCTTGGCAAGGTTGAGCTTGAGCATTTTTAGTAGGCTAAAGCAAGAGATGTCCGGTTAAACAAGTCTGTGTTCAGGTATGTGTTGCCTTATGTTCAACAGATGGGATTTATGCAGGTCTTAAGTAGCTACACTTGACTGAGCTTGAACAAAAGATCACTGCTTAGCATCTAGAATTTCCTTAATTTACTACTTTTGTATTTTACCAACTATGACAGTCTCACTATATTAGTGTTCCTGTAAAATGTCAAAGCCCTTCCGACTAAAGTCAGTATGTACATAATCTTCCCTCTGAACTGTGCTTGAAGTTAATGGGCTGAGAACTAAAAATAAACTTTTTTTTCCTCCAGTTAATTTCCAGTAATAGTAACCTCCTTTCTATGACTTGCACCTTCTTTCAAACAACTTTTATCTAAAGCTAACCCAAATGTAACCATGGTCTCTTTACTTACTAAGCTGATGTTGCACTCCAAATGAAATGAAGGCTGGCTGTGCTACTGCTCCATTTGCAAATCCTCAGTGACCTTAATCCTTAGTCTTCTCTGCTCCCCCCATAGTGGCACACACCACTGTTCCTCCAGGCATTTCGTAATTGGTTTCACAGATCTTGTCAGAAAGATGCCATTCAGTAACATAGCTCTGCCAGGGTAAGTACGACAGTGGCTTAAGATGCTGTTGGTTGTTCCATGTGCACCACGGCTTAAAAACTACCCCTTTAGAAGGGAATACATAACTGAAGTAAGTGGAGACACACACAAAAAAGCCATAGCTGTTCTGCAAATGGAGCTATAGCCACAGGAGTTCAGCAGCTACCACAGTAAATTCAGCATTACCATTTCACTTATTTTCCCTCAGCTATATGGCAGTTATATAACTCAGTGTTAAGTCAGATAAAATGTACAAAAACTAAGTGTTTTATCTTCAGCAACCACTCAATCAGAACATGTAACAACTGCCAAGTCAGATTCAGTGTACCTGTTGAGAAAGAGAAGCAGACTTAAGTTCCACAGTGAAAGGCTACAAAGCTTTGTCTTAGCTATGACTCCTCTACCCCTCCTCAGCTTAAGCACTCAAGTGATCTTAGAGCAGCCTGCTTTTCTCTGCGAGTTAATGTCAGGTTTTGAGTAGCACACAGAAATCCTCACAGACTACAATCTTAAGTTCTTGGAAGTTCCATCACCAACAAAAGATATTTCACCAATCCAAAAATATTTAATCTTTATTTAAACATTCACAACTGAGATATGCAGTGAAATTGACTGAACAGATGCCTCTGGCTTCACTACCAGGTTGAAGTAAAAGCTCCAGTGGAGCACAAAAGAGAGGCTGTCAAAGGTCTGTCACCTTTACAAGATACACAGTTACCTGACTTTGGTTCATTGCCTGTCTGCAAAGTGCAGAGATGCACTGAAACAAAGACAGTGTTCTATCTAGCTGACCCAGCTTAGTGACTTGAGGGAGGTTCAAGGCAGGCTGCAGAGAAGTCCTGTTTCCATACGAACTCCTCCCGGTATTCGTGTCCATCACCGCAGCTGTCGGCACAGGTGTACACCACCAGTGTCCCCCAGTCGATGCTCTCTCCAAGGCTGTCAACCTTAAGGTGGTTCAGGAGCTGTGGCATAATCTTCAAAGAAAAACAAAGGTTTAGAGGCAGGCTGCAGCTCTCCACTCTCCCTGGGTCTCTTCCCAAAAAAGGGTCCTGCCTTCATTTATGTGCTTTTACACAAAAATCCCAGTCAAAGCTATTAAGTAACAGCAGCTCAAATAAAATAAATCTGGATTGCCCAAAGCACTGTAATAGACACACAGGAAATCAAAGGCATGGCTCTACTTACTTTGGCTATAAACCTTTCATTTGACTAAGCATTGCCTATTTTTTATGCCTCCTTCCATTTGAAATTACCTTCCTAACTACGTTTTAGCCTTTGCATGACATCAGGTGTATTGCCCAGATGTGTGCTTCCAGCATTCAAAATTCCGCACTTGAATAGTTCCAGCCAGACAGCGTCCAACACATATTGTGAAGGTTTTTTTATTATTATTACTTTTTTAAGTATACAAGGCTCCTATTGCTTAAGAGACAGTTCCATATTTGCACGTGCACCACTTCACAGACAGTGCACACTACCAGATGGGAACCTGCCTTCTACATGTGAACATCTATAGGCAAAAGCAGTTGCAACAGAATTAAGGACTACGTACAATTCAGCATGGTTAGTCTGTAGCAATTTCAGTTACCTTGCTCTAACTACAAGTCAACACCTATACCCTTATATCCCGAGCTACATTACCTGTGTTATCTTTAGATGAATTTACATACCTGGAATTCAAAAATTCTTTTGGCACCACATAAACAATTTGGGATATCTTTTTCTTTAGGAATATTTTCACCTGATACCCAGACTGGACCTTCTCCTCCTCTGCAGTATCTAATAATCTGAAATAGAGCAGAAGTTTAAGTTATCAAGACTGCCTTTTCTTCTTTGTATAAAATTGATATTTACTGACATAAAGCAGTTAAGATGGTGCGGAAAAAAGTTCTTCTAAGTAACACCCATGGCGACGTCTACTGGTAGCAAATGTGGTATTGTAAATAACAGGTTCTTTAAAAAAAGCTTCCGATTTGAATCGTGACAGTATTTGTACAGCAACATTTCCAATGATCCAGGGATAAACTGCAATTTGTACTTCTCCAATTAAGGGACCCAGAAATGCCAAGTCACGTATTTTATAGATGAAGAGCAGACTGAGAACTGGCACGCAGAAGCCAGGGCTGCAACCCAGTTCTTTGCATTTGCAGCTCTGGATCTAAATGCAAGGGGACTGTCCTAACATCCAAGGAGGAGATCTTTTCAGACATTCATATCCTTAGTTCTGTTACTACCTAAATATTTCTATAGCAAACCAGACATTATCGACAAGAGGACATTTATGCAGATCAGCCATTGTGGGGATGGTCGGAGAAGAAGGTGATGCACCTACCCCAAGCAGAGGAGGGAACCAACTCAAAGTCTCCTACTTTCTGGGTATGCACCTTAACCCCTCAGCTATCAGGTAGAACATGGAGAGAATTTCTTCCTCCACCATTTGGATGGACTTAGGCTTGTTTTTCCTCTGAATGGAACCAGGAACCATGTTTTTGTTTGACCATGTTTTTCTGCCTCTTGTGTTAGCAAGAAACATCATGGCTTTAAAATTTCTGGTTTGGACAGTTGAAATTTTAAAGCCATCACTAATTTCTTCAATCTTGACAAACAGCCAAAACCAACCTCCCCATGCAGTTGGTGACAGTGACAGAGCTCATCTCTGCAAGTTTGGTTTTCTCTGCTTGAGAAAGAAAGCCAAGAGAGCGAATGGCTGCAGAAGAGTGCAGTGGTTCACCACCTGCTTTGGCTAGAGCCACTTCACAGGATGGCAGGTTCCCCCACACCACGCTGGCCCTAGTGCCCTTGTGCCTTCTCATCCTGACCAATTTCTATCTGAGAGACATGAGCAGGTGCTAAATTCTTACTTTGGCATCAATCAAGTTCTGCATGTAAGGAAGATTAGGGAATGCTGGTTAAGGTACACTGAGGATGAGGAGCATCCTCATCATCATTTCTAACCCTAGGTACAAAAGGCAGTGAAATACTTTGCAGGTCCAGCAGGATGCTGCAACCTGTCAGTTCTAAGGCTGCCCCATCTTCTCACCTGCTCTGGTTCAGCA